AGGTGATAAAAATCTTTTCCTGAAAATTCACACAGGAATAAAAGGTAATGCTTTAAGACTCGTAATTAACTTTTACTTCATGTATGCATGAAGTAAAAGTTAATTACGAGTCTATCACAAGTAAAAGTCTTTTACATATTCCCGTAAACACAATCTAATTTAATGAACCATAAATTAAGCTAAGTTGTTCTGAAGCTTCTGGCGTTACAACCAATAGAAGACCAAGATCCTAATTAGCACAAAGATAAGCATAATCAAGTTTGCCCTAAACATAAGTCTTATGAGCAATGAAATTGCTTGCACCAGCTTTCGAGTCATAAAAATGAATACATTACGACCAGTCGTAAGCTAAAAGTCGGACTTACAACACATTCTAGCGAAAATCATAAAAATCTTGTCGGTACTGGACGATAAATAGCCACTTTACCATAGAAGATTATTTATTTTGTAGATCTCATAGCTTAATAAGAGAATTTAACACTGACTGCTAAGAAAAAAGCAAGAGGATGTTGATAGTTGAAATTGGCTTTTTAATTTGAAGCTGCAGTTAATGGTCATTTAGATAGTAAAGTTAAATTACAAGAACGATTTATGCATCTAAATACCGATTTAACGATTGATGATGGAGATTCACTGAATTGGGTTCACGGGGAATAGTATATTCTAAGACTAACTTTTATGTAAGATATACACTTCACACTATGTTTTTGACTTTCGCTTACTAATGTAAAAAGGGCTTTCTTAAATTAAATACCTAATAATTATGTTTAAAATATTTGAATCAAGATTGTTCGTAAATTTGCTTCTTGGTTAGTATTCTACTGGATTATTATATCTTTATAATTATTTACTTTAAATGTTTTGATCAATTGTTATTGATGACATTTAAGACAACTGTATGAGATTGGAATAACTGATAAATTTGTATTAAAATTAAAGTCAGAATGCGAACTGTAATTTACGAATAACGTAAAACCGGATTAAAGAAAGTACACGAAAAATAATACAAATAACAATAAAATTATCTAAGTTTTTGAAACACAAAATATTATACATCAATCAACACCCAACAACGTAACAAAACATACTGACAGTAACGACATTAATAATAAAAGTCGTGTCACCCCGAATGCCTTTAATTTGAACTCATGAATCATTTGACCTTTCACTATCGAAGAAAAGGATCTTCTTATTGACTTCAAAGGAGTTCAACAATAAGTCAATTGTGCTATACTTGCACACCGTTAACATCGCAGCGGGCAAGTCCAAAGCCCAATATATAAAAATGATTTCAAAACTGTGTCAGAATCTAGCCTAAATCTCCGGAACAATACTGGTCATTTTTTGCTCCCAAATGGATGCTTCAAATAGTCTGAATAGTATCCTTATTAATTGATGTAACGGATTTTTTGCTGCATTTTTTTTCTATTTTGATCGACAGATGATACTTATGTTAATTATTATTATGAAGTGTTGATGTTTTGTTATGGTTGAGATGTTCTGAATACTCATCTTCACTGCGATCGGTATCGTCATTTTGGTCAAAAAAATTTAGATAGGTTTTTTCTTTGTAACAATAACACTGGAGATTTTCCTTAATAGCAGACGTGAATGGAAGATTAGATTTCTGTCTAGATTCTAGGCAATAATTGAAAATTTCTTAGCTTGAGTGCTTGACCCAGAAAGCGAACATGGATTTGTACGCATCAATTGTACTAGCTGTCGTTGACTTGACCAATATCGATAGTCCAAAGTTAAGGAAATGAAATGAACTTATTGGCTTAGAAGAAATGTTAAAAAGAACAGTTCAGTTTGGACAAATCAATTAAGTAGATTTATACTATGGTATGATCACTTCATCTACTTCTTATTACGAAGTCTAGACTGAATGGCATTAAAACTAACGTATCCAGTTCGAATAGCTTGCCTTAGATTAGCTTTTTACTATTTCCTTACTGAATAAAGGAATCATCATCTATCCGTATTATTACATCGTCCAAACCGGATTCTTCTATTTCTAGTGAGCAATGAGGATTAATAATTATATTTTCATTCAGTATATTTAAATTTTGTATCAGGATATTCTTTTTATCTACAATGGGCTATGCATTTCTCTATAAATTCTTCTTTACTCTTTTGCTACACATATGAGCCTATAATAAACGATTTGTAATCAAATCTGAACTTTTGTTAGATACGTATGGTCGCGTTTATTTCAAACTTACTAATATGTAAGCCCTCTTATGACGGAATGGGATTAATTGCCATTCGCATACACATTTTCCTTTTCCTGTGTAAGTAATATTGATTTTGCTACAAGTTCAAAACCCTCATTTATTTTACTGAACACACATTTCCTAGACGGCAAGTCATCTTCAATTGTGATATCTCAGAGCTTTATATAAAATACCGCAGCAAAATGTAGCCGTCAACAAGCAATGTTACCGCACGCTTATTTGATTGTTTCTAATGTTTAAATCACCGCGTCTGGACCGCACAGGCGGTCAATACCGTATTACGAGTATGAGGCGGTTGTTGTTAACGCTTCGGTAATGTTCTATTATGAGATTATAGACATGGAAAAAAGATTCAAAACTGTTTGTCGTAATACCAAAATTTATTATTTAAAAGGGGATGAGTAACTTGTCAAGTTTCACTGTTTAGTTTCTACCTGTTTTGAAGGTGGTTGTGGTGGCATTCAATGATTTCTTCCGCGTTAGGGGTGAGGATGTATCAGATTTTTACTGACTAAAAAGCACCCAGCGTTATTTCTTCTGCTTTGAGACACATCAAACAAATGACAAAACATTGCAATTGCACCCCAACCTGCTTAACCCATTGAAATAAAGACATGAGTTGATGATACTTGCAAATTAGACAGAAGTCTTCATAATGCGTTTCCCTACATTTTAAATTGTGACAGTGTAACTTGTTAAAAGCACTCCGTCATAAACTACAAATAATAAACATTTTAAAGCTCTCGCTGAAGTACAATATTTGTCCCCTGCAATCTATGATGTATATACTTCATTGTCTGCAAACAAGCAAAAAAGCTATTCTTTACAAATAAATTATTCGTCCATGTAGAAATTAGTACTTTATTAATAACTAGCTATTTTCGCGTGGTTTCACCCGCTGCTCGGCTCCATTTGATCGTAGCGCGATGTTTTATAGCCAAAGATTACCCCCTACATACAAACTTACAAATATTACCTCTTTATAATATTAGTTTAGATAATAATTCTCGAATAACATATAGGCTATTTCTTACCACGATAACGCAGGCTATACCGCTGGCAAAAGCTAGTACTAAGTTGTAAATATTTTTCCATTTCATGGAAAACAGTTGTGATTTTACGATCCATGGAATACGCAACGGTCTCACAGATTACAAATCTTAAGTATGGCGGGTAAATTGCGTCTCTGTGAAAAATTGTACTAATTGTAATGCCTCAAGAAATAGACTAACGGATTTTATGTGTTACTGGACATTTATTACGATATAATCCTACAAATATTATGAGATGTTTGAGAATAGACATTTGCAACCTTATCACACTAAATTTACTGAACTATCGCAATTGGTCAAATTTGATTTGCCGCACAAATAGATTTAAAATTGGAACAACACATTTTAAATGCGTATGTACCATTGACAGTTGCTTGTTTTATTTTTTTTCTTATTCTATGACAGTATCTTGTATCGTTCTGTACTTATTGTATATCATCTTCATTTGGTAATAATAAATGGACCAAATTTAATTCAAATTGTGTTTCTTCGTTAAATGGTTAACATCACTGCAATTTCCTTTTATTTGTCTAGTTAAGTTTACTATCAAGTGAGACTGATTTTTATCCTCATAAAAACACAATCGTATCAACATTGTCGTGCGTGTATTTATACATTTATGAAAGTGCATTACAAATTGCATCCGAGATATTTTAAACCACGTGTACACTATTAATAGAAAACAGATCGAATATCGAAGATAATAATATTTTAATGCGGTCCAAATATTATTTAAGAAACACGGTATACTTACATTCAATCGTACACAATTTAACACCAAAAAGTTTTTAACTCAAGCGAGGATCGTGATCTCAAACAAGATTACAAATGGCCAGTGTGCGTTCCAAATACAAAAGCTTTGTATGCGATTGATCTACTTTATCCATTTGTTCAACTGTTTAAGCAATTACATGTAATTTGAATATTTTAAATTTGGAATTCTAAACTATGGAACTATGGTTTCAAAAAGTACATGACATACACCTTTACTTATTCTTTACTTTTCGGTAAAGAGGTTAAGAATGTAAAAAACTACTTATGTGTTTTTGACTTTTTTGGCATGATAATATCCAGTTGAATTGAAATGGGAATCAATTAAAAAACGTAGCGTTATACAGAAATAATGTGAGTTACTAGCACTTTTAAAATTAATTTATATTTAGCGACAGTATCCATTGGACATCGCAGATTATACATGACTTTCCATGAATACCGATGTAGGTAATGAGCACTAGAAAACTCGTTCGAAAAATACGCCTTTTAAATAAAGGCCGAGCGAAATAAATTCTCGCATTTCATTCTTCAATTTATTGGATGCGTTTGTAGAGGATTTTTTATCTATTTGTATTAAGTTAATGTGAGTTTGTTTTATTGGAAATCCGAAAATAGAACCTAAGAGTTAGGCTTTAAGTGTTAAAATTACTTAATTATAATTAGTGTACTGGGAGAGCTTTTTTCTTTTTTCGTGTTGGTGTAAGAATGAATAAAAAACATGTCCGTCATTTTGTTAATAGCGTTCTTTTTGTGGTGTCGTAAAATTTAATTACTTATAGTTAAAAACATGATTTATTGCACAAAAAGTTAATCATTAAGCTTTACGACTTTCCTAACTATAACTTTTCTCTCGTAGCTAATCGGCTAATTATTTTTAACGAGACCCCATGTAATAAAATTATCTTTTATTCGGAAAGATGAGACAAAAAAAACTTACTCAAAATAATTCCCAATGCACGCGTTAACACACAAACACAGCTAAGTTCCAGCGAAATTCAAAATTTGGAACGGTCAACGCGATCGGAACTTGGAGAGGCGTGAAACACATGCGGCACCGCCCGCGGACGCTTCGCGACTGAGCTCGAGATCGGCTCACCACTAGCTAATATATCTCGTATACTAGTTTTCATCGTCTTTCACTGGTTTAGCTTCGAGTCGACGGCCACCACTTTCTGGGTTAATGAGGAGCCTGACGGAGCCCGCGCTCGCCCGTTTTCTACGTTTTCGAATACGCGTCGGGTGCCGAGTGATTTTCGAACTGCTTTGTTGCTATGCGCTCCTGGTACATCGCTGGTTGTTTGGATGTTTTTGTGAAATTTGAAAAAAATGCGTTATTTAATTTAAAGAAATAAAACAAAAATTTACTTAAAAAGCCTGTTGTAATTAACAAGTTTAAAGAGAAAACCTCGAAAACGGTGACAAATGTTTAAAGAAATTGAACTAGTTTAAGAAATGAGCTTTTTAAAGTAACAAACGAGACTCGATAAATGCAGTAAATCTCGTATTCTTTTCGTCGTTCATACTTTTTTTTCCACTCTAAGTTGTAGTCAAAGTAATAACATTTATTTCAAAATCCTACAAAGAGGCCCTTTTAAATCGCCAAGACCTTTTGTCCATTAAACTATACGACAATGAACCTAGGAGGTGCTCGTTCCAAAATTTGTATAGACAAGAACGAGATAGAAACACTATTACTCATTTTTGGAAGTAAAAGTTTTCCACAAAATGTCCTTATTATCAATAATAGATATAGTACGAGTAAAACAACATTTGACTTTTTTTCGCATGAGATTTAATTGGAGCACCAGCAGTAGGACTTAGTGGTACTACTTATAGCGTGTTAGCGAGAAGTGTAAGTGAGTCTTAGAAAGAGAGAGAACTTAGAAGGTACTATAGTCCATGCATATCAACATAACACCAGTGACAAGAAGTCCACCGCTGAACTCAAGACTTCCAATTTCCTTCAGCTTTAAATGTGGAAGAGCCATGATTCGGCATGAATAGGACCGTCAACGTCATAGAACGCTGGAAAACAATTCTTGAATCCATATCATCGATCCTTAAATCTCTAATTCCTCAAGGGCTGGCAACGACTCTGGTGTTGCAGTTGACCATGCATGGTGCTGTTAACGAGCGAATGAATTCTCCAATGGCAAGCAATCGCCCTCGTCTATGGACATCGGTAACAAAAGAAAAATTGAAGTAAGATTCGGAAGAGGAGGTTTGTGTCTCAGGTAACCTCACTCACACATAACGCAAGTATTGTTTCACGCCGGTTTTCTATGAGGCTTTTATCACTCCGGCCGAGCCGACTCATTTATGCCAAATGATAGTTCTCCCGAAGCATCAGGCTCTTTTTTGTATTTTATATAAAACGATGATTCATGTGAGGATGATAACGAACACTAGGATTTTCTCCTGTGTCGTGGGTGGGACACCCCGACCCAGAACAACAATATATGGATCACACAAAGACTTGTTCCGTGCGGGAATCGAACCCGCGACACGTTGCACGGCAGCAGTAGCCAGGTGCCCAGCCACCGCACAAACCGTGCAGTCAAATCTGCTCTCCTCTACACTTATACATTATCTACTAAACTGGCCCGAAAAATAACAAAATTTTTTCATTGCAATTATTCCACAAATAATTTAATAGTTACTTATTTAACCAAATAATATAAATGACAAAAGAACAGAATGCTATAGACTCTTCGACTTATCTTTACAAACTGAAGAGAAAACAATAATCTCACACGGTTATATACTCAAAAACAAAGCTTGATTAAATTTATCTTGAGCAAACACTTAACTATCAAACAGTTAACAGAATAACTTCTAACAGCTAAGGGTTTGTAAACTATTACGCTAGTTTAACTAAACCAATTAAAGTTAACCAAACATTACATATCGGGTACCAGGCATGCAGAGGCTGAAGGATCGTTAATAACCTTTTCGAAGTTCTATCCTTACGTTTGTTGTTGAAAGTGCTCCGTTAAATTTCTGTTGTCCTGGTACTTGGTTGAACAAACGCGTTCAATGTTTTTGTTTCCTGGTAGCGTAGATTAGGAATCTGCGTTGATATACGAGTACTATGTAAGTTATGTTCTATTAATAAAGAAATTAAAATATCAGCAAAATGACAAAAATTGTGTATTTCGAAGGAGTAGCTGTGTTTTTATTATGTAAGTAGTAGCTGTGTGTTTAGTAATTGATGCGGTGATACCCGTATCTAATAAACATAGACATCTGACGAGCAAGTCAGACATTTTTAAGCGGCCAGTCATATAAAATTGTCATTGGTTTAGTTGGATCGACTTGGTCTGCAGTTTCAGCTTAGCTTCATGGAGTCTTGTCTAACTTTCCAAAATTTATTTGTGGGATACTTACTACATCATTACGCTTGTAACCCACTGAGAAAATGAAAGAGACAATGTAACACCTAATTATACAAAATTGGCGTTCTCTTTCTTTTGTTTACACTCTTCATAAATTCATTCGTTATGGTGACTACAGAAATTGTGAGCTATAAAAACTATAGTAATTTTTGTTTTAATATATTCATTGTTAACTCTAATTTTTTTAATCTGTGTCCTCTTGAACTTTTATTACCCGACTACGGCAAAGCAAAAGGAGGGTTATGATTTTGACAGGCTATGCATGTATGTATGTATGTATGTAAAAAATTATATAAATAAAAAAGTGTAGTGTGTAAAAAAAAATTTTTCATAAATGGTCAACCATGGCCTTTGGCGATTGTACATTGTAACTTGTAAACTACTTATCAAAATTCGACAAATGACATGTCATTAGAAACATCTTAATTGTCTGCTGGTTATATGCTATATGGGGTAGCACAAAATCTAATGTGGCGTCCTCTAGCGGATAAAACAAACAAAGCAAAAAAAATAAAGTTAAGATAAAGATGTTTAGTACCATTTAAAAGCGCGTTACTCGCCCTCATGCATGAGAACGGCGCCTTACCCTCCGGGCCACCACGTTAACTAAGTAGCACGTAATATGTATTAATATCTATGTTTTAATATGCTTAATAATAATATTATAAATTCATCGTGTTTGTTTCTTTTTTTTTCTCGTTCTTTTTCTGAAAATCTGAAACTTTATTCCAAAAAGGGCCGGCAATGCACTCGTAACTCCTCCGTGGTTGCGAGTAAGTACGGGCGTCGCCCGGTGGCTTACCAACAGATAATCCGTCTGCTCCTTTGCCCTTTTATCAGATACAAGCTTCTGCCGCGTGGTTTCATCCGCGATTTCTATGGGTCGGTGATGTTTTTTAGCCTATAGCACTCAGGAACATTGTAGCTATCTATCAGTGAAAACAATTTTGAAATCCGACTAGCGGTTCGAAACATTACCCCCTACATACAAACTTTCAAATTTTACCTCTTTATAATATTCGTATAGAAAAAAAACTAATACCTTGTACTCTGCCACTATCTAGTACATCACATCATAGGCTAAGATAATTTACGCAGTAAAAGTAATTAAACTTAATTACTAACGCCACACCATAAATCCATTTGACGTAGGTACGTATTAGTGTAATCGTTGTAATTATACTGGTTCTCTTAAACTAGAACTATCACAAGCAGTTATACCATCTGACACGGGAAAGAACTATGCATATCACAACGGTTGAGCCGGCTCATTGTGACATCAATGGGTTACAGAGGTATAGACATCACAGAGAACTGGAGTGGATTAACGCTTGTGTCAGTGAGTTCAACAGAAACCTCCTCTTCTCTTCTGACTAAAAATCGTACAATTTTTCTCCTGCTCTAGGCCGAGGCCACGGAGCCTTATTGCGCTTATCCCGCAACCCCAACTGAACATCAGGCCTATAGGGCCTCGCCTGTCACACCCAAAGGCTGACAACGTATTTGAAATTTATTGTTTCCCTAAAATCGTAAAAGGAGGATTCGTATGTTTGTTTTAATAATTTTAGTACACAGGTAATTTGTATATTTTAGTTTATGTTTATTTATTGCGTCTCATAATTTCTAGATTGTAAGCTTCAATTTGTGTTTTCAATTTGTATTTAAAGAATGTTGATTATCCTATAATTGGAAACTGTATAAGACTCCGGCCTCATGTTATATTTCCCATAAAAACTTGTTTAAAGAAGCTGTTGGAAAACCTTTAATAAATAAAGAAATGTAGGAGTTGTGACGTCATAATTATGTTTAATGTTGCCTCCGGTAACGTGACACGGCGAAACGCAACGCAGTGGTTGTTTCACGCCGATTTTCTGTGTGGTCGTGGTATCACTCCGGTGGAGCCAACCCATTCGTGCTGAAGCATGGCTCTCCAACTCTTAACACAGAGCACTTGGTCAAAGTGTAATGGCGATTTCGAACTTATATGTACTTGAATATTATAAAAATCTGATTCAGTGACCCCAGGCTACTGTAAATGGGACCGATTAGTGTATAACAATAGCTGTGTATACAAACACAATATCGTATCGCGACCCTGCCTTAAGCAGGGTAATTAGCGAGATGGTTTTAGACAACACCAGTGACCTTCTCTCTCGCCCCATCCAGGGCGCCAAAAGTCATTGGGTGATTTTTCAACCATAAAGTAGACAGCATTATTTTTAAAAGTAAATAATGTTTGATGTACACATCTCCATATGAGAGTGTCAGACTCTTACTGACTAAAAACCTCCTCGTTCCTTCTCCTGGCCTAGGTCGGGGCCGTGGTGATATATTGCGCTTGCCCTGCAACCCTGGCTGTAGTCCAGGCAGACTTTTTCCGTCACCGTATGTAAGTGGTGTCTTAATAATCTTAGAAAGTACACATAACTCGAAAAAAGTCAATTCGGTACAATGGTAGTTGCCAGGTTTCAAGCCCGCACCTATCAGGCATCATGCACGAGACGCGGGCGCGTTAAACACCAAGCCACCACGAAGAATAACATTTATAATATAACACCATCCTACCACTGCAAGGTTTAAAAAACGACTGCATAATATTATTTTAATAATACAGATTCATACTCACGCGGTTCTACTTCAAACAAACCCAATTTAAT